AAGGGAGAAAGAGAGAAAGCAAGCCATCATGTTTGGGACTCAAACCACGGCCGGCCATGCGGGTGTCCAGTGCCTTACGCAGCATGCCACCTACTGGCCCCAATATTTCACCTTTACTTTAATAGAAAACTACCAGTAGTGAGATTATTAAATTAAGGTAATATTATTTATTACTTTCCAAAAGTGTCACATTTCTCCCTCTAGTTTCTCTATAATGTTATCAATTTTGGATGTCATTTCTTGCATTTTGGCTAATAAAACATTAAGTAATAACTCAAACTTATAAAAATTTATATTTTTTAATTTTTAGAAAGAACATTGTCCCTGCAGGTTTGTATTTATTCATACTAACCATTCAATCATATATTTAAATGCTTTTTCATTGGCACTGTGATTTTTCTTTTTTTTTCTTTTTTTGGAGAGGTTTTTGCTATAGGGCGCGTGCCCTCGCCAGACAGAGAGAGAGAAAGCGAGAAATCACCCCCCAGGGGGGATGGTCACGCTGCAATCCCTTCTCCTCCATTCTCCTCTTGGGATCTTGGGCACACACGCACACACGCCCAGTGTGAGTTTTAAGCCACCGGGTCCGGGACGCGAACCATGGTCGACTACATGGGAGTCCAGCGACATAGCCATTATGCTAACTGCTGGTTCCTGGCACTGTGATTTTTCTTTTAAGGTTGAAAAAACTCACAAAATGATCACACCCATTTCCAAAGAAAGGTGCCCTACACATAGCCTTTCATGTATTTTATGGTATGTGATATCCTACCTAATTGCGTCTAATTTAAGAAATCTCTGTGTACTCTAAGATCATAAAGATATTTTGTACTGCGGGCTGGCAGCTGGTGTGGTGAAGGGTGCTGGATTCCCACATGGCCGACCACAGTTCAAGTTCTGGACTGGTGGCTTGATTTGTCACTCCCTCCCCCCATCCCTGTCTGGTAAAATAAAAACAAATAAATACAAATAAATAAATAAATTTAAATAAAATAATTCTTTAAAAAAAGATATGCTATACTTTTTCTTTTTTTTTTTTTAATATGTGAGCCAGCCCATAATGTGCTGGTTAAGGCAGTTGGATCTCATACAGCTGACTACACTGTTTGACTCATGGACCTGGCAATTTGAGGAACACACTGGGCATATGTGAGTGAGTGCCCAAGATCCCCAAAGGAAGGAAAAATAGAAAAGAGATTGCAATCTGATCATTCTCCACAGGGACGGGGTGGGGGGACACTTTCTTGCTTTCCTTCTCTATCTCCAGCAAGTACACATGTCCAACAAAATTAAAAAAGGAAAAAAGTATGTATTTGCTTTTTGCATTTGTCTTTAATCCTTGAGGAATTAATTTTTAGAATAATTATTTATTTAACTCTATGTATTGTTATTATCCTTTTATTATTATTATCTTTGTTATTATTATTTTAATAATTTATTAATTTGACCAGAGAGAGAAAGGGAAAGTGAGAAAGCAAGCTGTCAGATCTGGGACTTGAACCATGGGAATCCAGCACCTTTAGCTACCACACCACCTGCTGTCCCTTGAGGAATTAATTTTAATTTGGGGTATAATATGTAGTAAGTATGCAACTTCATTTATTTTCTTTATAGATTACCAGTGGCTCCGGTCACTTTTACTTTTTTACAATGATCTTTTACTTTTCTGCTGTAATAATCAGTATCCCCTGTATCATAAATACATCTAAACCACGTTTTATATGAAAATGGGGCTGGTTTCTAGATGCTACTCTGGTTCACTAGTCCATCTGTGAATTCTACATCAATCTCACTGCCACCAGTAATATGACTTTACGATAAATCTTAGTATCTGGTGGGGTATGACTTTTTTACTTTTTTCAGGTTTTCACCTTAGGGCACATGTGAGCTTGATGGGGAAAGGCAGAGACGATGAAAGGGAAAGTAAGAAATCACTCCAAGGGTAGATGGCCATGCTGCAATCTCTTCTCCTCCATTTTCCTCTTGGAATATTGGGCATGCACAGACATGCAACCAGTGTGATTTTCAAGCCGCTGAGTCCAGCGCCTTAACCACCATACCACCTTCTGGCCCTGGGGTATAATTTAAAATAAATTTAAAAATATGTCTTGAGATTTGATAGAGAACACCCCTATATGTAACTGCTTCAGGAGTACCCTAACTACTTTTGTACATTTTGCATTTCCACGTATATGTTAGAATTAGACTGTTCAGCTCTTCAAACAGAAATTTGATTGAGATTTCTTTTTTTTTTTTTCTTTTTTTGGAGAGGTTTTTGCCATAGGGCGCATGCGCTCGCCAGAAAGACAGAGAGAGACAAGAGATAGAAAGCGAGAAATCACCCCCCCGGGGGGATGGCCACACGGCAATCCCTTCTCCTCCATTCTCCTCTTGGGATCTTGGGCATGCATGCACACGCGCCTGGCGTGAGTTTTAACCGGGTCCAGGACGCGATCCGCGGTCGACTACATGGGAGTCCAGCGACATAGCCATTAGGCTAACTGCTGGTCCCCTTGATTGAGATTTCAATCGGAAATGCATTGAGTTAATAGATTAATGGGGGAGAATTGAGTATTTTTATGTTACTGACTTTTCTTCCCTGAACATAATCCTTCTCTTCATTTAGATTATATTTCAGTGAATTTCAATAGTTTTACATTTCACAAATCTTTTGATAAATGTATTCTTTTTAAAGGAATTATTTATTCAATTTTGTTATTATTATTATTTAATTTGACCAGAAAGAGACACAGAATTAGAGATAGAGAGAGAGATAGTTTGAAAGTAAGCAGCCAGTTCTGGGGATCAAACTGTGGTTGGCCAGGTGGAAGTCCAGTGTCCCAACCTACCCTGCTACCTGCTGGCTCTGATAAATGTATTAAGGACAGTCCATGATTTCATTTCCATTGCTATTATAAAGACTATCTTTTCTTTTTACAGTATATTTTCTAAAGATTCCTCACTGGTGTGAAGGAAAATGACTTTTTTATAGTAACATCATCTTTGGCAACACCGCTAAATTCTTATCACTTCTATTATTTTGTGTAAAGATTATTTTCCCTCACAGACAAGCATATCATTTGCAACTGACAACACTTGTTTTTCTTTCCAATAAGCACTCTTTATTTGTTTCTTTAGAACCTAAGACTTCTCATAATATTCAGAGTGGTAATTCAAGGCTTTTTTGCTCTCTATCTCAAAAAAAAAAAAAAAAGCTTTCTTTTTTCAGTGTCTTCATATGATACTTGCTTGCTAAGGTTTGCTTTTATTTATTTTTTTTAAGAGATTTTTGTTATAGGGTATGTGCACTCACCAGAGAGACAGAGAACAAGAAATCACCCCTAGGGGGATGGCCGCTCCACAATCCCTTCTCCTCCATTCTCCTTTCAGGGATCTTGGGCATGCATGCACATGTGCCTGGCATGAGTTTCAAGCCACTGGGTCTGGGAATCAAACTGGAATTGACTATGTGGGAGTCCATCAATGGAACCATTACACCATCTGCTGGTCCCAAGATTGGCTTGTTTTTAAAGATATCATTTCCTGGATTAGTAAATTTCCATTTTATAATAATTTGCTTAATAAGTATTTTCTAATCTTATGGGAATATAAATTTTGTGAACACTTTTGCTGTCCTTATGGAAGTGATCACAGGTTTGTTTGTTTTTTTAGAGAGATTTTTGCTGTAGGGGGCATGTATTCGCCAGAGAGACATTCAGACAGAAAACGAGAAATCACCCCCTGGGGGGATGGCCATGTTGCAATCCCTTCTCCTCTATTCTCCTCTCAGATTTTTGGGCACACACGCCAGGCGTGAGTTTTAAGCTTCTGGGTTTGGGACTCAAACCACAGCCAACTACATGGGAGTTCAGCAACGTAACCATGATGCCATCTGCTGGTCACATGATCACAGGTTTTAATAAGTTTGTGATCATAGTTTTAACAATATGTTAACAGAGTGCTACATGAATTTGCTTTGTAATATTAAGCCAAACCCTATATCAATTAGGTCTGATATATTTGCTTACATTAATATGTATAGGAGGGGACTTCAATTTTTAAAAGATTCATGGAAATGATTTAAAGTACAATTTTATTTTGGTGCAAAAAAATCTTAATTTTATACATAGTTTTCTCATAATAGGTATTTTCCATAAACTTCTTGAAAACTCCTCAGATACTGTTGACTTTGGCTTGCTGGTACTACAGGATCTTCATACTAGCATTTGTGAATGAGCTTGGGAGGTAATTTTCTTTATAGTTCATTTCTGGTTTTCAAATCATGGTTATACTAGTGACTCATAAAAAAGAATCTGGTTGTGGGGGCCGGCAGGTGGCATGGTGGTTAAAGGCACTGGATTCCCACATGGCCAACTGCAGTTTGAGTCCCAGACCTGGTAACTTGCTTCCCCACTTTCTCTCTCTCTCTCTCTGTGTGATCAAATTAAAAAATAACAACAACAAATGGAATTAAATAATTATTTTTTTAAAAAAGAATCTGGTTGGTTTCCTTTTTCTCTATATTAGAAGAAATCTGTTTCCCCTATTCCTTATCAAGGCTGAAAGACAGGCAAGGATGCTTTAATGCGGTACATTTTATTTTGCATTGTTACTTACACTGAGGTAAAGAATTCAAGATTCTAGCTTTATACAGGTCAGTTTTGTTTGTTTGTTTGTTTTTGAAAGAGATTTTTGCTACAGAGTGCCTATGCTTGCTAGAGACACAGAGAAAGAGAGAAAGGAAGTGAGAAACTGCCCCCACCCAGGGGGTATGGTCACACCACAATCCCTTCTTTTCCATTCTCCTCTTGGGACTTGGATGTGCATGTACACACACCTGGCATGAGTTTCAAGCTGCCAGGTCTGGGATTTGAACTGCCGTCAGTCATGTGGGAATCCAGCACCACAACCACTACACCATCTGCTGACCCCTATACAGGTGTTTCCCATTAACTCTCCCACCTTACACAGGGCCTAAGCTTTGACTCCTAACCTCCTGCCTTGTTTATCTATCGAGGCAGAAGCTTAGTGTCTCCAAAGGTCAGCAGTAATTCTGTAAGTGAAAGCTGTCTCTAGAGTTCAGATGCTCATTTCTTCACTTTATCTTGAAATCTGCAAATTTCTTGCTTTTGTGCCAACTCAATGATGCCTTTTAAAAAATGTATGTTTTATCCAGCGTTTTAGTTTGTTCAGTTGGAGAAGTTATTCAGGATATCTAATCCAGCATGCAGCACCAGCTAAAAGTCACCGTCATTGTTATTTCAGCCGGTTTCCTTCCATTCCCTGTCATCACCTCACACTGCTTTCTCTCCATGGGTTCAGGCTCTTGCCTCTCAACGCTGTATGCTATCTTTAGGCAAGCATACCTTTCATAAATCAGTCACTTACTATTCATGGTAAACAATTTAGATAGGTTTGTACTCCCTTCATTCTTTAGGGAAATGTTCTCTTTCCTAAAGCTGGTCTATTTTCTCACTGGCCCAATGTTGGTTTTTCTTATTGCCTCTGAAAGGGAAGAGATGCAGGTCTAGCATTTGCTAACAGACAGGATAAATGTGGAAGCGGTAGCTTCCGTAATGCTCCACTCCACTAGTAAAAATTTACCGCCCTAAAATCTAAACTTTAATGTTAACCTGAAACAGGTAGCCTCTAGTTTAAATTGCAATGACAAGCAGAAATTCAGACATAGGTCTAGCAGACTGAAGTTAGGGTCTCTCTTGACACTCAAGAACTAAGCTGGAGCCAAGCAGTAGGTAATTCTTTGAAAAATGATAGCATGCAAGATGACATGCCTTGCACCAATCTTCCTCCATGACCTAGGACTGGGATGCTCTTCCATACACCAGCTAGCATTTGGGGACACAATGTACTTCTTTTCACCCCCTTTTACTTGCTGTGCTACAAGCTGAGAGCTATGGCTCCAGTGAGGAAGCAGAGATAAGATGACCTGCCTGTCCGGTGGTAGCCTCCGAGAACAGGGGCAAGTAAGTATTGAGTTGACGGTCTCTCTGCTTTGATTCACATACAGAGCACACGATACACATTCCAACAAGATTCCTAATCTATTCCCTTTAACAATGGCTTGCAAACATTCCTGACAGGACTCAGTGTAGTCTTCTTCCAATTTTGTTTAGCATCTTTATGAATATTTTAAGGACACTTGGGAGGAAATTACTTTAGTATTTACTTAAAAACACAGTATTGTGCAACTTGCCATATAGTTTAACACAAATATACTAAAAATGAGCTTAGAGATCTAGAAAATTACCTGTCATGCTTGATCCTGGCGAGCAGAGGCTCCAGCCACCCCACTGTGCACTCACAGTGAGCGTCCAAGAAGGTGATCACTTGGCCTTTAGACACGGCAGCTCCTTTTAACCTAGCTCTGATCAACCCAGAGCGTTGCTCCATTCGGATGACGTGAACTGGTACTTTTAGTTTTTTCACATAACTCTCTAATGGCCTTTTCAAAAAGTCTGAAAAATGAACAAAACAAAAAATCATTTACAAAGGCATGACCTAGCACTACTCAGATGCAAAGCAATCTTGATTTATAACAGTCATTGAACACGTAATTACCGAGCACTCTCAGCTAGGTCACCTGATTCACAAACCCATTTAGATAAACAGAATCTTTTTCTTTCTGAGAGCGTGGACTGAGCTGTCTCTGCCTTATTACCTGTGAAATTATTTGGCTCAGTCTCAGTCAAGGATAGGCTTATTCCTTTATTTCTCTGAGTACCTCTGTCAGACTCAATTCTTTTTCTTATCTTGCCTAAGGATGGGTGACGTAGGAAGAAAATTGTTCAACAGCATTAAATCCAGACTTCAACAGAGAAATGAACAGAATCTACCCTGGCTAGTAGAGTTCAGCAAGTTGTGAGAGTTCTTCAAAAGGCAGCAATGAACTATCTTACTGATTGCCAGTCTCTGATCATACAATTATTTTATAAAAAAGTTGGCGGTGAGGGCACATCAGAAGAGAAATGCAAGGCCAAAAGTTATCCTTAACAAAATAAGAAAAAAAGGTCTGAGGAAAAACAGTCTAAAGAGGGAAAGGCGAGGCCGGCAGGTGGTGTGGTGGTTAAGGGTGCTGGACTCCCACATGGCCGACCTTGGTTTGAGTCCTGACCTGGCGGCTTGCTCTCTCACTTTCTCTCTCTCTGTCCCTCTCTGGTCAAATTAAAATAAATAAATGCATAAATAAAATAAAGTTAAAATAATTCTTAAAAAAATAAAAGGGAAAGGCAACTGAAGAGGAAAAGAGAAAAAGGAAGGAAAGGGAGAAACGGAAAGTACGTGGGTGTGTGAAACCGACAGCTCTCCTAGAGAGTTTAGGTGAAAGGTTATGCTCAGAAGGCATTGATGTCCTACCTCCAAATTTACAACTGACTTTAAAATTTAGAAAAGGTGTAGCATCCTTAAACTAAAGAGAAAAGGTTTTTCACATTATGTTAGTTTCTAAAATTTATGCCACAGCAGCTATGGGTGTTGATATGGTTAAATGTCTTTTCAAGCAGTCCCTATACAACAAGGAAACAGATAACCTATCTGGGAAGGAAAATAGTTCAGATGGAAATACTTGGTCTCCTATGACTCGCTTTGTCTCACAGGACTCTAGTAAAGGAAAGGCCAGAGAAATCAGGGATTTTTAAACACAAAAAGTGGGACTCCAACAGGCTTCTTATACAGCGGGGTGAGAAAGACAAATGGGGATGATATGATTCTTGCCTGTTTGATTGGTCTCCAGTACGACTCAGTAATGAACTAACAGGGATGTGCTAGCCATGACACAGCAAGGTCTACGTCCCGCTCACCATTCCCATGGATGTATTTCATATTCGGGCTAAAGAGTATCTGAGAAATATCACTGTGATTTATGAATCAAGTCTTTGGGTTAGAAAAATGTAACTTGATTCTGAGTGAAAATTGAGGGTAGTACCAATCCTGGAGAAAAGAAACATTTTGCAGTAGCACCTAACATTTGAGGCGGTTTAGTGTAATGCTAGGCTTGTCACATATTTTGTTTCATCTAGTCCTCACAATCGCCCTGTGAATTTAAGTCTTACTATACTTTAGAAATGAAAATCTGGGACTGGCAGGTGGCATAGTGGTTAGGGCATTGGACTTCCACAAGGCCGACCATGGTTCGAGTCCTGGGCCTGGCGGCTTGCTTTCTTACTTTCTCTCTGTCTCCCTCTGGTCAAATTTTAAAAAGATAAATAATAAAAAATAAAGTTAAATAAATCTTTTTCCAAAAAATGAAAATCTAAGGTTTGGAATATTACATGCATGTGGTTAAGAAGACAAATCACCCTGACTTCAAAATCCATCTTTTTATCCGCTACAAGAAAATCTTAGAAAGGAACTCTGGAGAGGAACAAATCAGTACTTAGGAAGCATTTGATCCTGTGCAAATTTAAAATATTTTATGTCCAGAATGTGACAGAATCTCATGTGGCAGGGTGTAAGATATATTCTACTACCTTTGATTAGTCAAGTCTGGGTGTGTCAAAACAACGTGTCTCCTAACAAGTTTCCCCACCCCAGATATTAAGTATTTAAAATGCATCTTAAGAACCAAGTGATATGATTAAAGTCTCACATCTACGAAAACCATCATACTCTGTCTTATCTATGAACAAAAAGAAAAAAAAACACATGATTCTATGGTCTGGTAACTCATAAACTTTGCAGTTCCACAAATTTCCTTGACATCTTTGCGCCTTTCTTATGATCAGACTAAGAAACAGGTATCTTCCTATCAGCTGAACAGAGTTATGGAGTCAGGCTTGGTTGAGAGATTTGGAACTATCTACTCAAGACTCATCTTACAAAACTGAGGCCCTGAGAAATTACATGACTGAGGTTAGGAGCTACTAGTTTGTCTAAAAACAAGAGAGACTTCTATTTATTAGAATATCTTTACAACTACGGCCTATAAACAACTCTCCATTAGGAGTACGAGGTTGTTCTACAGTATGACTATCAGGGAAAACTTCACTGCTCACAGAACACCTGGAAAATATTAGTGAGAACTCTGACAAGTAGCAGGAAGAGCTGGGACTAGACTAATAAATGACTCCTAATCCCTACCAAATAAAAACTTCCTTTTGCGTAAAATGAAAGACAATAGTTATCTCAGATTAGGAACATTATATAAATTCTAAGTCTTATGATAATCTTCTGAGATGACAATTACATAACTTCCGGCGTGAACTAGGGATTAATTCACTTAGGCTGACTTTATTACAGATCCTGCCAACGTTAACTTGGAAGTGATGTACATGGTGGTTAGAAGTTCAAGACCTGGGTTTATACAGAGTTTGGATACCCCTCTACCATGCTAAGCCTCATTCGCCTCATCAAGAACACAGGGATAATTATAGCACTTTATACTTTAATAAGTGGAGCTATTCAGCAGGTCAACTGTGAAATCAAGAGTCCTGAGGCCATGAGCAGAGTGTGCATGCTACACAACAGAATTTGGAAGTATGCACAGATAGGAAATGTGAGGGCTAACTGAGTGGCGGATTATTCTTTCATTATTTATTCAATAATTCTAGACTGTTTACTATGAAACAGGCACTGTGAACACTAAGGAAACAACTGAGCAAACAGCCTTGATGGAGAGTATACTCTATCAGAGGAAGACAGACATTAACTACACAAGTCAATAATTAAAACTCTAGTTAGAGGGACCAGCAGTTGGAGTAACAGCTATGGACTCCCATGTAGTCAGTCGACCATGGTTCGAGTCCTGGACCCCGTAGCTTAAACTCACGCTGGGTACTTGTGCATGTGTGCCCATGGTCCCGGGAAGAGAAGGGATTGTGGCGTGGCCATCCCCCCTGAGGGGAGGGGGTGATTTCTTGCTTTCTGTCTCTGTTTCTCTCTTTCTGGAAAGTGCACCTGCCCTACAGCAAAAACATCTCCAAAAAAAAGAAAAAAGAAAACAAACAAAAAAAAACTAGTGAGAGCTGTGGAGAGGAATGGAGCGTGTTCTGAGACACGTTCAGAGAGACCTGACAGGGTCTCAGTAGGTCAAGGAAGGCCTCTTGAAATATAGCACTTTTGAGCTGAACTCTCGAGGATAATTAGATGTTAAGTAGGCCTGGGAGACCACAGAGAATGTTCCCTAGAGAGCAATGTGCAGAGGACAGCATCGCATAGCAAAAGCCCTGAGGTAGGAAGGAAAATGATACTTGTAACTTTCCCTAGAGAACAGTGTTCAGAGGACAATAACACTGCAGTGAAAGCCCTGAGGTAGGGAGGAAGATGATACTTTTGACAGATTCAAAGGAGAAAATTGTGGACAAAGGGCAGAAGTATGTGAATGGGGTAGGCAGGGAATAGTTAAAGATGTGACTGAAGATACTGACCAGGTCATTTGAGCCTTAGAAGGGGGGCTTTAATCAGAGAAGAGACATGATCAGATTTGCATGCCTAAAAGCTCACTCTGTGGGTGGTGTGGCAAACAGTTGGAAAAGGGTGAAAAAGTAAGTCTATCTCAGCAGTCCAGGTGAGAAATGATGATATCTCAGATGTGTCTCACAAAGAGGAAAAAGCAGTTTTGAAGAGTTACACAAAAGTAAAAAGCTTGCTCTTGTTCCCTGGCCCAATCATTATTACCTAAACAATAAAGCCAAAGAAAATTCCATTAGATAATTCTCTCCCTTTCTCTCTCTCTCTTTTTTTTAAATAGAGAGATTTTTACTATAGGGCATGTGCTCTCACCCGAGAGAAACAGAAAGGCAGAAAGTGAGAGATCACCCACCTTGCCCCACGGGGAGGATGGCCATGCTATAAGCCCTTCTCCAGTCTCCACTTGGAATCGGGCACATACGCACACATGCCTGGTGTGAGTTTTAAGCCACCAGGTCTGGGTCTTGAACCATGGTTGACTGCATGGGAGTCTAGCAATATAACCATTACGCCATCTGCTGGTCCCTCCATCAGCTACTTCTCCATCTAGATAGCAAAACTGCAACTATGACCACGGGAAACAGTACCTAATGCTTCCGACATATGGGAAGTGATGACCTAGGTACTTGAGGCTTCCCAGGAAGATCAAGAAAAGGGGACTCCAGGGCAGCCCTCAGGGGCACCCCCTACTGACGGAAGCCTCAACGAAGCAGTGGCATGGCCCTCTGCTCACACTAGCACTCTCTCAGACATAAGCCGGCTGGGGATTAAGTAAGGCCTTAGGGAGCAAAGGAAAATGGAGAATAGTGTATGTGAGTTTCTTTGCCACTTCGGAGTTGGGGGAATCTGAAACTTGCTAATTAGAGCATATCTCACAAAATTTACTGTTCCATACAAGCTTCTTGGGAACTCTCAGAATAAGAGAGATTACAAAGGAGGAAATGGAAAAATTTAAGCCACCAGGTCTGGGTCTTGAACCATGGTTGACTGCATGGGAGTCTAGCAATATAACCATTACGCCATCTGCTGGTCCCTCCATCAGCTACTTCTCCATCTAGATAGCAAAACTGCAACTATGACCACGGGAAACAGTACCTAATGCTTCCGACATATGGGAAGTGATGACCTAGGTACTTGAGGCTTCCCAGGAAGATCAAGAAAAGGGGACTCCAGGGCAGCCCTCAGGGGCACCCCCTACTGACGGAAGCCTCAACGAAGCAGTGGCATGGCCCTCTGCTCACACTAGCACTCTCTCAGACATAAGCCGGCTGGGGATTAAGTAAGGCCTTAGGGAGCAAAGGAAAATGGAGAATAGTGTATGTGAGTTTCTTTGCCACTTCGGAGTTGGGGGAATCTGAAACTTGCTAATTAGAGCATATCTCACAAAATTTACTGTTCCATACAAGCTTCTTGGGAACTCTCAGAATAAGAGAGATTACAAAGGAGGAAATGGAAAAAGAAGTCATTTCATCTGAGGAAAAGTATTTAATTTAGCAGATATTAACCTCTAAGTAAACCAAGCACATGCCCTTTGCAGGATAAATGTCCGTATATACTGCTTAAGTTAATTTAGGTTAATATTCCTAAAGACAGATTAATTTCTGGCAAACCAATTATCCACATAAGGTTTATTCTTCTATTGTCAACGGTAATTATTTCTTTTTTTCAAATGTGGTATTCTTAATTTATAATATCTCTTATTCATTTTGACATTTAATTACATTATATATTATACTATTTAAATGTCTTGTGTGATTATAAACTGTCTGTTTAATTATTGTGGTAAGATATAAGGTGCCTGAGAAGGTAAGGCTATAGCTTAGTCTTTGTATAGATGTAAGGTTTAAATTGTTATTAATGTATAAATGACTACTAATAATATATAATGTAATTAAATTTTCTGTTAAATGCATATATTCGTGTGGGCATAAAAAAAGAGAGGGTATAACATTTGACTAAACTGTCTTAGCAAATATGATGAGAGAATAGACAAAAAAGCTGAAGATAATAACAAAACAGGTTGGGGACCAGCAGTCAATGTACTGGCTATGTCGCTGAACTCCCATGTAGTCGACCGTGGTTTGAGTCCCAGACCCGGTGGCTTAAACTCACGCTGGGCATGTGTGCATGTGTGCCCAAGATCCTGAGTGGAAAATGGAGAAGAAGGGAATGCGGTGTGGCTATTCCCCCTGGGGGTGATTTCTCACTTTCTTTCTCTCTGTCTCTCTGGAAAGCGCATGCACTCTGTAGCAAAAACCTCTCAAATAAATAAATAAATAAAAAGGTTGAAATGATGGGACATAGAGTTTAAGACTGGACAAGAAGGGAAGAAAGAAAAACAGTAGGGAACTATTTACTGTAGCTCCCTTCAAATTTTTCTCATATGAGCAGAGGAACATTTGGGGAACACATCACATGACACAAACAACTCCTAAATAGAAGTGCTATTTAAAAAAAGAAAAGAATGGGAACTACTGGATATCTGAGTTTTGACAAGTTTCTTTCCTGATGAATTAAGCAGAGAGCCTTCCCTCTAGTACTCTACAGTGTGAAATCTCAAAATAAATAAATAAATAAATAAATCAGAATAAGAAACACTGGTTTAACACCCCTTTAATTACTATATCCTTTCGCAAAAGAGTGTTTCATGAGATTGGTGGGGAAATTGTAAAGCTTGTGAAAAATTCTGAGATTCTTAGAAGGACATCTGTGCGTCATCGTGGAGATGTGTCATAACAGTCTTATTACATACCACCCTTTTGTCCTTCCTGCTCCCTTTACGCACACAGCTATAGCCCATTCTCGAAACTCAGAAATGGAGAAAGCAGGGAGCCCTAAGAAGAATCTAGAGAACAAAGGCTCACCCAGGTAAAGCTCCACTTTGCTGTTACAGATAGTTTCTACTCCACATGGAGCTAGATTTCTCTACTCGTGGCTCTAAGGAGGATCCGGTCTCTAACCGATGACTGAGGGCTGTGGTGTCTCAGAGAAAATCCCAACAGAATTATGTGGTTGGTTTTCCTTCCTTCCTTTCTTTCTTTCTTTCTCTTTCTTTCTTTCTTTCTTTCTTTTTTTTTTTTGCTGTTTGGCACAGATGTTAACACTATATAGCATTATTTCTTTCTAAAACAAGATTAAGATGTGACATGAATTAAAGGTTAATTAAAGTATTAGGTCATCGGGAAAGCCATGACATGCCCTTCTTTGTAGAAATGCATCATGACTTTTCCGAAAGCCCAACAGTATTTTCAGTTTCACAATGGCTTTTTTTCTGCATATGAGTCCAAATGCCATAAATATTTTTAGGATATATTAGAAGTCTATATAAAATTATTAGGTCAAAAATGATAGCAACTAGTTTTTAACCATTAGTGACAGAAGGTGCAGCATATTATTGGCATTAAAATGTTCAATTTACCTCTTTCACTGGCATCATCTACTAGAACAATTTCTTCTATCATGTGTCTTGGTGAGCGATTAATGACACTATGGACAGTTCGCAGAAGGGTGCTCCACGCCTCATTGTGGAATACAATCACCACACTGGTAGTAGGAAGGTTATCTGGATACACCTTTGTTTTACACCTAGAGACAAAGCAAATGCCTTTATACAAAGTGACTGTTAAGATAACATAATAAATGGATCTGGACTCGAAAGCTGATAGAACAATTAAACAGTCTGCTCTAGCGGTGAGATTCTCTGGTAACTGTTTATCGATTTAAGTTTTGGTGAATGCCACATGTTTAATGAATAATACCTATTTAGAGTTATGTTTTTAGATGAAAATCAGTTTAAACACGCCATTTGTATTCTTAACATTAGGCGCCTTTTCCTGATGAATGTTTTTGGTTGATTTAGTGAAGAATAAACTAAGCAATATTACCAATCAAATCAGAACTATGAGAACATTGGATAATCTAAAAAATATACCTGCAACAATGCCACAAAGGAAAAGAAATAACATTTACTGAGTACCTGTTATCTATCAGGCCCTAAAGCTTCCTGGTCATTCTATGAAGCAGATACTTGGACCACAGTTCACAGATGACAAACTGAGGACAGAGGCAGCGAGCAGCAGGGCCTGCCAGCAGGCTCCATGACTGGGGCTGGCTGGCCAAACTCCGAATGCTGCCACCACCATAGTATCAACGCGCATCTCATTTAGTAAAGAACATTTATGCCTGAACATGCAATCCTCAGAAAGACTAAACAAGCCCACGATACGCGCGCACACACACACACACACACACACACACACACACACAGGATCAACATATTAACTACGTGTTTCTAGCATTTTGTTAGGCAACGTGGTCTCTTTTCTTTAACCTTGTTAGCTAGATGAAACCACTAGATAACAACAGTAGCAGTAAATAACCAGAGTTTAAGTGATGTGCTTTAGAACCCAAGCCTCCCTAAACGGTGCCTATGTAACTCTCTCTTAGGTATCCCCAACTGTAAAAGTTACTCCGACCTCTCTTTCTCTCCCTCCTGCTCTCTCTGAGGCTCCCCAAACACTGTACTGTCCAGTCTCATCTGTCATCATCTGTCATGGGAGTGGAGAGAAAAGGGAGGAGGAAATGAGAAAAACACCAACAAAAATCCTTCTTCCAAACCTGTTTAAGAACCTTTCTTACTAAACGCACCACCCTGGGACTGCTGGTGGTCAATTAGAAGAAAAGGAAAGGAGAAAGGAAGGAAGATAACAAGGCAAAGGGGCAGAAAGGAGGACAAACCGAAGGAAAGGCCCGTGTAGGGCTCCCACCAGCCTATATATCTCTTTTATCCCAGGAGAGAAGGAAAAGCAGCTTCCTTTCTCTTTCATGACACTGTTTGAGCCCCTTCCGTTCTCTTTACCATTCCCCAGACCCTCTTTCACAGCACGGCCCTCCTCTTCTATTACTAGTGAAGTTTCACTGTCCATCTGCTGACCCAGCCTCACTGCTACTTCACGCTCCATGCTCCTCTCGCTCTTTGTCCACTCCAAGATCCACAAGAAGGCCCACACCTGCCCTCTCTGCTGGTGTCCCCTTCCAAGTCAGAAATAAAGAGGTAGGGTGCAAAAGGCTAGCTGCTAGAGCCCTAGGAGACAAAAACAGCTTCCCATCAAAACTCCAGAGGCCACTCACACAGACATAAACATACATATTACTTATGTTCATACAATGCGTACTATACTTCGGGTCCATTGTAGGTAAACAAGCCAAGACCTCACGTGTTCTTACGGGATGACGGATCCAGCCTGCCTGGCTCACCTACTACTGCAACAAGCCTTTGAAGTCAGGCACAGTCGGTGTGTGGGGAAGGGCAGTACAGAAAAGCGTCTTGTATGTATTGAGCTGCGTCTTGTTGGGTCACGAACAATCTCGTCTCCCAAGTTGATCCTACTTATTATTACAGTAGAGCTGGGAAGCAGGACGCAGGCCAGGTGACTGTGTGGCCACTAGCTGACTAAGATGACAAGCGAGATGCAGGAAACGGTTAGATGAAATACACAAATGGTACTGTTGGCACGCCCACAGCGAGGAGGCCGGAAGGAAGGAGATAGAGAAAACCCGAGACAGCAGGTTTTACAGAAATGATAACCCAGATTTATTTCTTGGGTGATAATGTTAAAGAATTAAATTCTGAAATTGTTTAGGAAAAAAAAAATAAGACGATCAGAACGCTAGAAAGAAAGAAAATGGAAGAACCTGAAAGAGAAGCAAATATTAGAACCCAGAAGAACAGATGACAAAAAAGAAAGCATTCTCTAACTCACACATTCAACATAACCATTCAGGGGTCCCAGCACATTCATATAGCATAATATTCTCAAAGTAGAATAAAACATAGGAAGAATGTGGGAAAAATCACAATTAATCTCAAACAGGCGCACGCAAAGCCCAATCGGGAAGGACTATAAGACACTTGTAAAGAGCCACATACCACATAGCTGTTCAACATTCCAGCTTAGCGTTTTTCCTTTCTAACTTTTTATTTTAAGAGAGATTTCTGCTATGAGACACACGAGCTTGCCAGAGAGACAAAGAGAGAGAGAGAAATAGAAAGGCCATGTTGCAATCCCTTCTCCTCCATTCTCCTCTTAGGATCTTGGGCACGCATGGACACGTGCCCAGTATGAGTTCTTTTTAAGCCACCAGGTCCGGGACTCTAACCCCGGTCAACTACGTGGGAGTCCAGTGACATAAGCATTACACCATTTGCCAGTTCCCTTTTAAACTTTTTAATTTAAAGAAGGGCGCATGTGCTCACCAGAGATAGACAGAGACAGAGGGAAGGAGAGGCAGAAAGCACCCAACATTAGGGCCTGGTCACAAGGAATTCCCTTCTCTTCCATTTCTCCATTTGATTGGAATTTGGGGCACACACTCCAGGTGTGTTTTTCAAGCCACCAAAGTGAGATTTGAACCTCAGTTGGCCATGTGGAATCCAACTCTCTTAACCACTGGGCCACAAGGCCAGTCCTAGCTTAGCTTTCCTAAAGGAGAAGCCACCTGTCCTTGTGCATGAGGGTGGGTATACTCAGGACACAGAGCTGAGGATAAGCAGTGGCTAATTTCCTTCTTTCCGTTTTAGATTTTTGCCATAGATTTTATAGTCCCCAGAGAAAGTGAGAAATCACCCCATGGAGGGGTGGACACACTGCAATCCCTTCTTCATTCTCCTCTCCTGATTTGGGGCATGTATGCACATGCACCCAGTGTGTTTTTTCAAGCTGTCTGCTTGGACTCAACTGCAGAGTTGGCCACGTGGGCTCCAGTAGCTTAACCGCCACACCACCTGTGGGCCCAAGCAGTGTTTTGTTTTTTATCTGTTTTTTAAACATTTTTATTGCCTGAGGGCATGTGTTCTCACTAGAGAGAGACAGACAGACAGAGAAAACACCTCCCAATGGGGTGTGCAATCCTTTTGCCTCCATCCCATCAAGATTATAGGCATATAAACACATACTCAGTGTTTTTCAAGCTGCCAGGGCCAAGATTCAAACCAGTTGGCCACGTGGGATCCAGTGCCCTATCCACAGCACACAGGCAGTGTTTTATAGCAGCCTTCTCCCACCTTGACCTGACAGTCCTTTATCTTCTTTTCTGAAAACTAACCAATGTTTAGTTTATGCTAATTTTTAAGCTACACAGAGGTTTAATAACAGGGTAGGGGCTAGGAAGACAGGGAAGAACAGTCTTAGCTTTTACTGAAATGTAAGGCGCCTACAAAGAGGTGACAAAGCATAAATGCACAGCCAAATGACTGCAATAGGTTCTATCCGCTGGTATGTACCGTAGTATAAATTAAAACAGGAATGTGGAAAACAGGAACTCACAAGCATGTGTAACACTAGCTGTCAGAGAAGACTCAGCATGCTACATCATGTGTCCAGTATCGACTTATTACGTCTTAGCTCCAAATACAAATGTCATTACCTGCTCTGCAATAGTGGAACTGGCCCCTACAAGCATCGTCTTTGCAGCTGGCACGATGCATGCTTGCGCTCTGTCGGTAGAGGGTGTTGAAGGGACGCTCCATTTGGGAAAAACCCTCCCTCCCTGGTTGGTTTGTGCTCTGGTCCTTTGTTTTCTTCTTCCTCTTACTGCCTGGTGGCCGGTGGAGGCTGGTAGCTAGCTGGAGGTGTCTGTGCCCACCGAGCGTCCACAGCACCACCACAGGCCGATTCTCCATCTCCCTGCACCTTAGCAGTTGTCTCTCCAGGTCTGCCTGCCTGCAGCCTGGAGGGGTGGTTCTCGTTTGCTAGTTCCGGCTCTGATTTCCTGCCTAAATGCACTCTAGGACATACTGTCTGCTTTTCAGGCCTACCTCCTACTGAGACAGGAGTTAGACCCCACTTACAGGTCGATGGGGTAGGGGCCAAAAGGAAGTCACTATGTTTCTCTTTCTTTAATAAAGTCTGTGTTTTTCCCTCTATCGTCTGATGAATGTACAGTCTCTAAAGAAAATATGACTTTACATGTCTCTAAAGAAAATAAGACTCCTTGCTAATAGGCAGAAGAGAGGAATATTGAGCACATAGGCAGGAAAAGGCCCAGATGGCATCACAGTGGCTAAGCTTTCACAGCCAAAAGCTGGCTGCAGAGAGACTCAAGCAACTCGGACTAAGGGCAACAGTTTCTTTTCGGTAACTGTATTCTAGCCAGAGGTACAGGACGCTCTGGTCTGCTGACCCTATAAACAGAGTAATAACTCAGCTACCATGTAACCATTTTCTAACGCCCACTTCCTTAGCGGAAAGCAGCCCACTGCTCAGACTGCTAGATAAAGACCCCTCGCCTCCAGCCCCTCTTTGGCAACCCACTTGGCCCCTTCCACTATACTGGACGCGCTTTCTCCTCCCCTAATACATTCTGCCCTCCTCTCCTCTCTGCGTCACGCCTCTAGTTCTTCATGAGGGTAGAACAAGAACCAACATGGGTGCTGGGTCCGATCTCCCAGCACTCCTGCCTCACTGGTCTACACCAAAACCAATCAAAGGAAACCAGAAAGCTTTCCCACCATCCAGTGAAGTCTGAATCTCAGCCTTCAGAGACGACTCCCAAGACGTCCCCTTCCTTTGTACTCTCCTCGATTT